TCTCTCTCTCTCTCTCTCACACACACACACACACACACACACACATCTGGGGTCATGGAATTTTGCTTCTTGACTTTTAAGCATTTCTCTTATGCTCACCTGCATACTTGTAAATAAACACAAATGCAAAGAAATGCCAGAAGCATCCAGTGACCTTCTCCCAAAGAACATGAGATCTAGGTAAATGCCACATCTCTGGAACTTCTCAGTATTTGGAGAAGTGGAGGTTGTAACAATATTATTTTGGTATGCAAAGACGGGTGTTGCAAACATATCCCCATTTCCATCCTTTATATGCTGGATAGGATTCCAAAGATGCATTTAACCCAGTACTTCTCAAATAGTGGGGCGCGCCCCCAAGGGGGGGGCGAGGCTCCGTAAAGGGGGGCGTGAGGCTCCTTTAAATCCTGTCCTCCTTTAAGTCTTTTCAGCTACAGTTAATAAAGCTATTCTTTGTTGTAAATTGATCCACATTTCTTTCTTTTTTTATTCTCATATACGTTAATAAGGATACAGTGTTATGCAGAGGTGTACTTATAACAATTTTATAGACAAATGATACTATTTACAGTCGCGTGGGGGGTGCGAAATGTTTTCTTCTTCCTGGGGGGGGCATGACAGAAAATAATTGAGAAGCACTGATTTAACCTAAGTCTTATTACAATATGGAAAGCAGGAGTCTAAAAGATGTCTGATTCACAGTATGGAAAGCTGGATTTTAAAAGCTATCTGACATCTAAAAGACATTTGCTGTGACATTCCAGACAGTTTCTAGATACTAGCAATATCTCTGTTATCATATTGATAGTTTGGATTTCAGCAATGTGTAAAATTTGTTTTGTACTTTCAGTAATTTACAATCCTTGGATGAAGGGATGCATCAAATTTTCATTGGATTGATTTTTTTTACCAGAACTTCCCATCCTTCAGGGAAAAAAACACCCTAGAGATCTCTTAAATGAATGTAATAGAATGTGAATCTAATAGATTTGTCCACCCAAGCAGAAGACTTGGAGCACTTAGTTCTTAAAGGTCCCCATACAAGTGTGCAATAACAGCTGCACAATTTTGAAACACAGGTTCATCTCCCTGGACAATGATCTCCTTCAGGGGTGCTCTAGGACTTGTTCAATCTTGTCCACCAAGGAAGAAAGGAGTAGACTTATACTGGGAGAAACAGCGTCCATGACTTTCACAGACTTCTATAACTACTTTGGGACAGACTTAGGATAGGATGTACCAAACAGCAAAGACCCATTGAATCAATGGGATCTCCATAACTGTTTTTGAGCATTGCTCAACAATTGATTCAGTGGGCCTATTTAGCTGAGGCTATTGATAGGATATTGGACTTAATATTCTACCAGGGTGATGTAAGATTGCTTTAAAAGTCCAGTAAAATGAGGGATGAAGCGAGAGAATGCACCCAATGGGGGACACCTGGCTTAATGAAACTATGCATGAAAGGGATCTAGGAGTCCTAGTAGACCACTTTGGAGAGTGTCCAAAGGAGGGTGACAAAAATGGTGAAGGATTTGGAAACATGCCCTATGAGGAGAGACTTAGGGAGCTGGGAATGTTTAGCCTGGAGAAGAGATGGTTAAGAGTTGATATGATTTGAAGCGGTGTCATATTGAGGATGGAGTAAGTTTGTTTTCATCTGCTCCAGAGAATAGGACCCAGAACAATGGATGCAAGGTAAAGGAAAAGAGATTCCAGCTCAACATTAGGAGGAACTTCCTGAGACTGAGAGCTGTTTGACAGTAGAAGATGCTCCCTTGGATTATGGTGGAGTCTCCTTCTTTGGAGGTCTCTAAATAGAGGCTGGATGGCCATCTGTTGGGGATGCATGGCAGGGGGTTGGACTGGATGGCCCTTGTGGTCTCTTCCAACTCTATGATTCTATGAATTCATTTTGATAGTAGATTTCTGTCTGATTGTTTTTTGGTTCACATGGAAACTATGGGCCTTTGCAGTCTGCCAGAAATAGTGCAAATTGAGTCCACTTTAAGGGTTAGGGTTAGTGCTAGGGAATCATGGGATTTTTTTTTCCTGAGACATTGAGCCTTCTTTGTCAGAGAGCTCTGGTGCCACAATAAACTACAGTTCCCATGATTCCCTAACCCTAACCCTAACCCTTAAAGTGGACTCAATTTGCACTATTTCTTAGTCTCTTCACAGAAAGTGGTGGGGAAAAAGAAAGGAGAAAGTAGAGCTCATGATTGGTCTTATTTTCACCTTTCTTCTACCAATGCCTTCTAATTCTCACCATACTTGTAATAAAGCATTTTTAATACTTTCGTCATTGTTCCTATGAGGTGGGAATGCTTCTTGATTAAAAGTAGAATACTGCATGGAGTAATCAGGAAAAGGCAGTGTGATATTCAGTAGAGATGCAATTATTTGGTAGTTTTGTTCCTGATGGAAGAAACAAGCAATTTTAGCATTTTTCCCCCAGATTATTTGGAATGTTCACAGTTTAGAACTTATTCTATACAAAATTTGCACAAAATTTCTGTGCAGAAAACAGGATTATAGCTGCAGAGCAGAAAAATCCTGCTTCCTGTTTAAAAATGCTGTAGTTGGAGACTTATTCTGCACGAAATTCACAAGCAGAGTTTTTGTGTGTGCTGAAAATAGCATTTTCTGTACAGATAATGTTGTTTTGTGTGTACAAAGGTCCTGTTTTCTGCACAGGAAACACTTATGAAAAATTTGCATAAGCCCCAGTCCAGATTTCTTCTCATTAATTTGTTCTTTGATGGATTTTTGAATATATATATTTTTAAAAACCAAAGCCTAATATCCAGACATATTTGTAACAGTAAAACAAACAAACATATGAACAAACAAAAATGCAGGTAGTTTATGTACAGCCCATGAAAGTTCAACAAAGTTGTATGATTCTGGACTATGTCATAATCTCCATGACTATAGACTGAGGCATTTAATGGGCAAACAAATGTGGAATGCATGATTGGAATACACAA